GACCCGATTGGAAACTCAGTCGACTCCCTTTTTGCGAGCTCCAGTAGACATTTCGTAGCGAGGTAAGGTGCGGAGCTGGTTCCATACGTCACTGTTTTTAGTTGATATACCTTTACTGGATCAAGGGGAGAATTGCGCCAGAGAATGCACTGCCAATTCGCATCGGCGTTGTCGACCAATACCTGCCTGTACATTTTAGCAATGTCGGCCATCAAAACATACTTATGGATTCGAAAGCGAACGAGGATTGTAAAAGTTGGACCTACTTTAAGTATGTCATTCAATGACCTCCCATTTGACGTCTGGTAGGATGCATCAAAAACGACGCGTAGCTTTGTGGTGCTGCTGTCAGCCTTTATGACACAGTGGTGCGGAATGAAGTACCGATTATGTGTTGAGTTATCTGTCAGTGACATGTGCCCTAACTCTGCATACTCGTGGATGAAGTCTCGATAATTCGTTAACATTGAAGGATTTCTTAGTAGTTTATGTTCCAGTGCTACTAACCTTTTGAACGCGATTTCATATGACTGGCCCAGTGATTCTGGGTTTCCCTTAAACGGCAAACGTACAATGAATTTGTTGCTGGTTGGACACCGCCTTGTTGTTGCTTCGAAAAACCGTTCGCAGGCTTGTTCTTCCTCTGAGAACATTTTAACTGGTTCAGTATAACCTTCGAGTGTCCAAAACTTTTGCAGCAGATTGTCTAGGGTTAAATTATTACCCAATGTTATAAACGTCTTGTAGGCAGGAAGCGATGATATTTTTGATGAAAGCGATGAAGATGATATTGTAGTCTGCGAAGATGCTGACTTCGTGGATGGAATTGGTCCTGAAACGATCCACCCTAATTTTGTCTTCTGGAAGATCGGTGACCTGTTGTCGTCTTTAATTTGACCCACAAGGAGCAGGTCGAAGAATAACCCTGCACCGATTAGACAATCAAATCCTTGTGGCTCGTGAAAACTCTCATCTGCAAGTTTGATGTTGTTTGGTATTTTGCACGCGCTTGAGGAAATTCGAACGTTTGGATGTTGTGCTGTTATCGTTGGGATTATTACCGCCTCAAAACTCGATGAGTAGTTCATGTGAAGGGATTTCATTGTTAACTGACTTGTATGTTGCATTTTTGTAGATGTTGAACCTATGCCTATAACTTCGATGCTTCTTTTGACCCGTGGTAGATGCAAGTGCTGTGCAATCCGCTCGGTCACAAAATTGAGTTGTGACCCCGAATCTAGGAGGGCACGAACGATGGTTGAGTATCCCGATGAATTCGATAGATACACACGTGCTGTATCTAAGATGACGTCTCCGCAACTCTCTTTGACCTGTAGAACCACCGGCTTGGTGTTCTCGACTGCTGGACTATTTACGATGTTAGTGGTGTTATTGGATGAGTCCCCCGCTCCATATGTTCTATGCAGCAACGTGTGGTGGCTCACTCGGCAGTGCTGGCACCTGTGAACAGATGGGCATACACTTGACGTGTGATTCTTACCCAAACAGTTC